TATATATATATATATATATATATATATATATATATATATATATATATATATGTATATATATATATACACATATATATGTATGTATGTATAGTGTGTATAGTACAGTTAAATGGAGCCTTTACATATGGATTGTATAGATACATGGATGTAAGAATAGATGAAGATAATTCGTCCTCATCTCTTCTTTTATGTGTCCCACAGACATCTGCCAGCAGCAGAAAACAGGAAACCAGCAAAATCAACAGGAAATACAGTCTGACGGAGAGGTGAGACACTTCCTGTTACGCAAACACACCCTTATTAGCTCCGTATTTCCTTTTCATTGTCATGGGAGACTTGCGGTTCTGGCCCAGATGTTCTGAGGAAATCCTGCTGAGTCATGGTTAGAGCAGAGTGGTTGGCATAGAACTGAAAAGTGTCCACAAGTGTCCAGCAAATCTGTGGGGGCTGAGATTGACTCAGGGGACACGTTTATTAGATCAGAGGAATGTCTGCTCTGCTCTTGGTTTTTTGACCCCTCTTTTTTCGTCCTATTCTCTCAGAGACTACATGAGCTGGAGACGTGGTTCCAGACCTCCTGATGACCACCACTATGTCCAGCAGCGTTCATGTTACTCTACAGGCGTAGGCACGGAACAAGGAGAACGTGGCCGATCTTCATTTACTCCTCTGGGTCTGAGAGGACGGGCCATGTCTGAAAACGACCTGTGGGGCGGGCTCTCCGTCTCTCTGAAGACCAATCAGACCCTGAGTGAGGTGGACGAGATGGCAGGCTCCGCCAAACCTAGCGGGAAGAAAGCTCCACCTCCAAGACCACCACCTCCAAAGTGGGAAGAGTTTCACCGCAGGAGAGCTTCACATCACGCTCTCCTCACCGGTTCCTCCTCCACATACGTGCCTCCACTTCTGGAGCCCAGCAGGCAGCGGTCCTTTAGTCTTCCTCCTGAAAGGAAGGACGTGACACAGAGCTGCCCTCACTGCTCCTACAGCCAATCACATCCACAGGAGAACCCAGCATCTAATCCGAGTCGAGCAGTCACTTTGGCTCCTCTCAGTCCCATGTTTTCCAGACGCTCCTTCAGGCCAGTGGCTCCTCCTCATAGAGAAGGCGAGGAGCATCAGAGGAGTTTGTACAGGCAGGGGCATGGAGTGGTGGAGGCGGGGCTTCAGTCAGACTCCAGGTGAGACGAGAAGTGAGACCCAAACTGTCCACAGAGAACATCAGTGATTTTATAGCACAGACAGTCAGTTGTTGATCCACTGTTGTCTCTATCACTAAGTTCAAATGTGTTCTTTTGTGACTTCACTGTTTGAAATGACCACAAACTGACCACAGGTGGCAGCAGTGGACCAGCAGTTCCTGTGTTTCTGTGTCTAAAATCACTGACTTGACTGACTCAGAGTGGATGTATTTTATTAGGTCAGCATTTTTGTTGGTTCTAACGTAAGATTATTTTTGCATTAGCAGTTTTCCGGGAGTCTACATCGACCCCAGCTCAGATCCATCCTCAGCTCCAAGAGTTCACCGGGAAATAGGCCTTCCTGCACCTGAAGGGGTCAGAGGTGCAACTTCTCCTGAGTCCTACTTCTCCATGGACAATGAGCAGCAACAGAAACAGATCCAAAACCATAGCCTGGAAGCAGGAACTGAATCAGAGACCACAATGAGTCCCAGCCCAGCACACAGCGTGGAGACTGACCTGGACGTTCCTCTGGAGACAGACATTGATGACTTCCAGGAGGAGGAGCTTCCTGTGCAGGCCGAGCCAATCACCAGTGAGCTGCCGTGTTTAGCTCTGCCCGTGACCGTCCTGGAGACCGACATGGACACGGTCCCGGACCGTGAATCCTCACCTCAGAGCAGGGCTCAGGCAGAGAGCGGGTCAGTGAACGGGCAGCCGCAGA